TCACCTTTATTAGTGTGATATTACGTGAGACAAACGTGTAGTTAAGTCACCTTTATTAGTGTGATATTACGTGAGACAAACGTGTAGTTAAGTCACCTTTATTAGTGTGATATAACGTGAGACGAACGTGTAGTAAAGACAAATTTATTATTGTTAACTAACGTGTAGTAAAATTACCTTTATTAGTGTGATATAACGTGAGACGAACGTGTAGTATAGTCATATTTATTAGTGTGATCTAACGTGAAGTTAAGTCACCTTTATTAATGTGATCTTACGCGAGACAAACATGTAGTTAAGTCACTTATATTAGTGTAACCTAATGTGAGACGAACGTGTAGTAAAGTCACCTTTATTAGTGTGATCTTACGTGAGACAAACGTGTAGTTAAGTCACCTTTATTAGTGTGAACTAACGTGTAGTAAAGTCACCTTTCTTGGTGTGATGTAACGTGTAGTAAAGTGACCTTTATTAGTGTGAACTAACGTGTAGTAAAGTCACCTTTATTAGTGTGATGTAACGTGTAGTAAAGTGACCTTTCTTGGTGTGATGTAACGTGAGACGAACGTGTTTCATGCTTCCCATTAAAACACATTATATCACGACAAATATATCAAAATAATCATTTAAAACTATTATAAAATTAACTTATTTATACATATTATGTATATTTTGGATGCCCTTCTAACCATAATTAGTTAACAATTAAATTAGAATAACATCACGCGCTAAACCCCCTTATTTTAGAACCAGATCTCCGCAGACAGCTGTAACTCCGCAGACAACCGCTGTGCCACTTGGGGGGGGGGGCATTTTAAAATGAGAGCCTTTTAAAAAATGCTATTTTTAAACTAGATTCTGCTAAACCTTAATTTTACAATTTAGTGTCTGTGAAGAACAAAATGTGGGGGAGGGGGTGGTTCTTCCAAAAATATTTTTCTCGGTAATCTCATAAAACAATCCTTAATATGACCTCCTGCTTTCAGTTATAGTTATAACAACTAAAAATTTAAAATGATTGTGAGCACCTTTATTTTAAAATTGTCGCACACAGCTACAGAAGAGACACAGTTACAGAAGAGACACAGCTACAGGAGAAACACAGTTACAGAAGAGACACAGTTACAGAAGAGACACAGCTACAGGAGAAACACAGTTACAGAAGAGACACAGTTACAGAAGAGACACAGTTACAGAATAGACACAGCTATAAAAGAGACAGAGTTACAGGAGAGAGACACAGCTATAGAAGAGACACAGTTACAGAAAAGACACAGCTATAGAAGAGACACAGTTACAGAAGAGACACAGTTATAGAAGAGACACAGTTACAGAAGAGACACAGTTATAGAAGAGACACAGTTACAGGAGAGAGCCACAGCTATAGAAGAGACACAGTTACAGAAAAGACACAGCTATAGAAGAGACACAGTTACAGAAGAGACACAGTTATAGAAGAGACACAGCGATAGAAGAGACACAGCTATAGAAGAGACACAGTTATAGAAGAGACACAGTTACAGGAGAGAGACACAGCGATAGAAGAGACACAGCTATAGAAGATACACAGTTATAGAAGAGACACAGTTACAGGAGAAAGACACAGCTATAGAAGAGACACAGCTATAGAAAAGACACAGTTATAGAAGAGACACAGCTATAGAAGAGACACAGCTATAGAAGAGACACAGTTATAGAAGAGACACAGTTATAGAAGAGACACAGCTATAGAAAAGACACAGTTACAGAAGAGACACAGCTATAGAAGAGACACAGCTATAGAAAAGACACAGTTATAGAAGAGACACAGTTACAGAAGAGACACAGTTATAGAAGAGACACAGCTATAGAAAAGACACAGTTACAGAAGAGACACAGCTATAGAAGAGACACAGTTACAGAAGAGACACAGCTATTGAAGAGACACAGCTATAGAAGAGACACAGCTATAGAAAAGACACAGTTATAGAAGAGACACAGTTACAGAAGAGACGCAGCTATAGAAGAGACACAGTTACAGAAGAGACACAGCTATAGAAGAGACACAGTTACAGAAGAGACACAGCTACAGAAGAACTATTTGCCCATATCTGTTCTTAACTTCAATCTGATAGACTAGATGGAAGACGGCTAGTAAACGCCACCTACCGCCAGCTCTTTAGCTACTCTTATCTGACTGAATGGTTGGATTTGACAGTTACTTTATAGCACATTATCCAGATTGCCTCCGGAGTATTGGCTTATGTTTTTTTAAGTTTAATCTGTTTCAATCAGTGTATATGTGTTTCGTGATGAAGGAACGTATAAAGTACTTAACATTATACAATATTTAAACATACTCTGTCACTCTAGAGTTCAATTTACTTAACCTTAGAATTACCACATTGAGTAATTTAAAGTGTTTTCCTGTTACGTCGCTCAGAGTAAAGAACTGTGTAAACAATTAGATGCAATCATGAATTTTCTTTGTAAAATGCGTAGAACATCTGACAGTTATTAATGGGTTTAATGAACATTATTTAGTTGAAACTCTTTCGTCAGATTCTGATGTTATTAAAAACTCTGTAACCAACAAATGTATGAATCCGATAAAACTAGCTTCGTTGGTAATTCTACGATTAGAATTATAAATATTTTTCTCAAGAACTCACTTTTATCCAACATCTCAGCAACTAATTGAAGCTCGTCTCCCATCTTTGCGGAAGTGATGTCTTTACCATCTTTATTCGTAATTCTAAGCCTGACTTCCGGTGTTGGAGCTGTTCCTGATATCCACGATGATTCAATATTACCCCTTAACAATTAAAAGTATGAATTAGTAATACTCACTAACCAATCAGTTAATTACATATTTTATTTGGAGTTGTTTTTTATGCCTAATCATCCAGTTATCAATTACATAAAACTTTTTACAATGAGCAAATTTTAACCCTTTATCTTCCAGTTAGGGCTAGTTCATTTCAACTACTATTAACGAGCCAGTTAGACGTCAGTTTTATAGGAAGTTCATTTTAACTACCAGTAACCTGTTGTTGCGTCAGCGAGGTCACGTGACTAGTGTCACGCCACTCGTTCTCTCGAACCTTCGTGAATTGTCGGGAGATTACTAGGTATAGTGTTAGTCTTGTATATATATATATATATAAGATGGTGACAACGTGACGGGACAGTGTGTGTGTAGGTAGTGAGTAATTGAACTTGCAGTCAGAAAGTATTGTTGAAGTTAACGTTCGTTGTTATAGCGTTTGTTATAGAGCGACTGTTGAAAATAAGTGTATCGGTAAAGTTATATTCAGAAAGAATTAACCAGTTTTATTAAGAAAGGACTTGTGTCGCTAAAGTTTCGTGGGAACAAAGTTACGGAAAATCAACTAACGAACGGAGACGTAACACTGTCAATTATTGACACATTAAACTGAGAAACATTTAAAACATCCCATTATATTTTTTCACATTATCCAGTATACATCCGTCTTCTACCTGCTTTTTTTTAGTCCAGTTTTAAGGTCTCAAATTTCGGATTTATAATAAGATTTCTATCACAATATATTTTTGATAATTATGTAACCATAAAGTGGACCTCCTGAATGAAGTCCGGGGACTACAGCTTGAGAAGATCCGCTGTGTTTTTTGTTTTTTATAATTGTTGGTGGTCTTGAAATTGAAGAAATGTTTTCGATGGTGGAAAACGTTGAGGAGCATAGGAATCATAACTTTAAAAATAAAAATAAATATCAAAGGAGGATCAAGATCTGATAATAATGATCGGATGCTCTAGACCTTAAAGAAAAGGACTGAAGATAAATGGGTAGTCTAGACCTTAAAGAAAAGGACTGACGATAAATGGGTAGTCTAGACCTTAAAGAAAAGGACTGAAGATAAATTGGTAGACTAGACCTTAAAGAAAAGGACTGGCGATAAATTGGTAGTCTAGACCTTAAAGAAAAGGACTGACGATAAATGGGTAATCTAGACCTTAAAGAAAAGGACTGAAGATAAATTGGTAGTCTAGACCTTAAAGAAAAGGACTGAAGATGGATGGGTAATCTAGACCTTAAAGAAAAGGACTGACGATAAATGGGTAATCTAGACCTTAAAGAAAAGGACTGACGATAAATGGGTAATCTAGACCTTAAAGAAAAGGACTGAAGATGGATGGGTAGTGTAGACGTTA